AACTGACATCTATGCAATTAAATACTTTGTCAGTATTACACGACGGGAATGGATAATATTTAATATTTATGTTGTATTCTTCCGAATGTATTTCCATTGCCGGTAACGGGTAACCCGTTAAAATATTTTGAATAAGTAAATTCTGACTGCGCGTAAATGTTACTAGGATTCCTATGATTTTATTTAATTATCATAGCTTTCTTAGAATCTAGACAAAGTTTTATTTCTACGAAAAAATGCGGTGTCGCTATAGCGACATATATTTTTATATGTTTATATTTTAAATAATTCTTTTTTATGTACCAATTAACAAATAATTACAGCAAGTCTTATCACGATAACAGTATAAACATATTATATTTATATGTTTATACAGGTTGGCCCAAGCAGTGATTTTTAAAAAACGCAAAAACACGTTTGACTATATATACTACTACACCTATAGGTGTAGGTAAACTTCTATGGGTATTTTTTTATTGAAAGATCGGTTAAATTAAAGAAAAGTCGCTTAGTTACAAGCCTATTAAAATAAGATTTCTATCTACACTGAAAAAAGCCAGCGGTTCTCAAAATATTTGAAATAAAGTTAACATCTTACAAAACCAAAAATCGTTATATCTTCGGTATTCCTGAGAATTTTAAAAATAAGTAATTTTTACATGTAAACATACACACTAATTTACATTTTCATTCAATTTCTTCGCTACTATAGTATATAGCATATATTCTCGTCTTTTCTTTTTATAGTGGCCGCGATAACTTATGTAGTAAGGACAAACAAAACATGTTGGTGGTAACTCAAAATCTAGTAGGCGAAAAAAATTACAAATTGGATAAAAATGTAGGCACATAATTATTTAATTTAAACCATTTTTAGATAATAAAAGTATTTGTCGTAAAAAAAGTATAATAATCAACTCGTTTATAAACTTTGTCATTTAATTAAGCACTTGCCTGCAAGTTCGCTCGTGCCTAAATTAAATTTGTGTATAAAATGGCATTTATCAAACTTGATACATATAATATTACATATTTTGGGATTATTAAAACTAAATTCCATTTTTGTTGTATTCATACGTTTTTGATTAAAGTACGTTAATGATCTAATAATAATTGCATAATTTAATAAAAATTTCAAAATGGTTCCAACTTTAAAAATATTAAATTCTTAAGGGTTATTGAGATAATAATATTATGGTAATAATATTATTTGAGAAATAATAATAACACTTTCAATGGACTTTACAAGTTTTCTGTGGAACTGTGGTACACCGATATCTCAGTTATAAGACACGGGACCCACACCAAATTTATATGAGTTTATAATGAGATTTTATAGACAAGTTCTGCGCGAGCAGAATTTAAATTTGAGTTTGCGAAAAAAATCCTGCTCCCCAAATTAAGATAGTTCAAATTAAAGTGGTACAATATTTAATTCACTGCAGTTTATCAACAAATTTCCAAATGTATTCAAAAAATTTAAGTATTACAGGTTTCATACCATTTAAAATTTTTATTATTTCTATTTCTAAATTAAAAAAAAAATAGAAATGGTATGGTCCGTAATATTAAGACTTTTGAAATTTTTTGATAAACTTTAGTGAATTATAAATTGCACCACTTTAATTTGAATTATCCTAATTAGCGGAGCAGGAGGCTGGAGGTGCACACTAAAAAACTAAATTTTTTTCGCAAACTTCAATTTAAATTCTGCTTGCGCAGAACTTGTCTATAATAACTGAAATATGCGTGTGCCCAAAATCCACCAGCCGCCACTGATAACCGACATTGTATACAATGACAATAATTAAGTTTTAGCCAAGCTATTAAAAAACCCAGTTACTTTGGGCTAATAAAGTTAGGGTTTTTTCATGCTTAGAGACACGTAAGTTATAGAAATGGAGTATATTGGGATAATGGGTGTTTAAAAGTACCATTAGGATAGGCGATAAAAAAATTTACGATCCCATATACCTAAAAACCTTCTTAAAGCAGTAGTAAATTGTTTATACCTTTAAAAAATTTAACCGGTACAAGCTTACAAATAGAATTATTTAATCCTAAACAAAATATTTATCACATGTAAGTACATATTTGTAATAAATCACGAGCCAAGTTTTATTAGGTTTATTAGGTACATACGTTAGGTAAATCAGATGCACCTAGATTTTATAAAGTATGCACTGATCTATCTTATACAGTACCTAATTACTTTCTCATGCTTGCCTATCCGCAAAAATTATTATTGAAATATATCGATAATTTAATTAATTAGCTCAGGTGCGTATATTTTATGGAATGCCTTTTCAAATTGATCATAAGTTAAGTTTTAATAGCATAAGTTAATTTTATCGCAACGTTACTTCCTATATTAAAGTTATACAGAGTGTGCATTGCTTTAGGGCAATAAATTATTACCAATAATTGAAAGTAAAAAGCAATCAACGTTGTACTTAATTTACCTCTTATTTTATTACTTACCTGCGCATTATCAATTTTATAAATATTACTCCATTAAGTGCATGTCAACATTTGTTAGAAAAAAAAAGGAATAAAATTTTCCAACATGAAAAGCACATAAAGGCTACGTCATATTCTAAATTTGATACAAGTATTACAAAAATAAATGAAAATTGAAATGCGGCGCCTCAGGCAATAAACATTTACGTGTAAACGGCGCCAATAAGTTACAGTATTTATTATTTATGTACAACCGTGCAACTTTACCTTCATAGATATTTTTAATTTAAGCATTTAATTATACCAAATAAATGTAGTGCGCCGCACTGAAACAGGTTTGGGGGTTCAACCCTCCCCCCAATCAAAAAAGAGAGCAATATGGAAAATGTTATAATTTTTTCACCCTTACTATTTTAAAACCATTTTTTCCATGAGACTATTAGGCTTTACTGTTTTTATTATTAGGTAGCAATTACGACAAAAGGACTGTTTCGATTGACACACAGTTGCATACTTAACTATGCTCCTTGACATTTGAATATCTGTTACTTTAACGCTAATTTCGTCTTATTTTGTGTCCTAAATACATAAAAAATACATATATTTTATTATTTTCAGAAAATAAGACGAAACTACCTTTAAACTGGTCAAAGTTGGACTTTTTAATTACACAGGTTTACAAAATTTTTAAACAGAAACCAGACCACCAAATTCTATAGAATGTCATAAAAGTATAGTCTGGCTCTGTTTAATTAATATTCTGATAGCCATTGTTTGTTATGTAAAGCGGGTACAGGCTAAATCATTACAGGGTTTGGTTAAAAAGCTTTATTATTTAATAATATTTAAATTTTTTAAATGACATGCATTTTTTAAGAAACTGAACGACAACCGTTGGTGTCTGACAACGCCGGCCATCATGTTAAAAGAATTGAGGCATGAAATTAAATAAATAAATAAATAATATTATTATTTAATTGTTTATACTGCCCGCATCTTTCCGCCATGCGTTGTCTGCGGCGCAGTCTGCGCATATTGTTCTGTGCTCTTCGCCGCATACTGAGTCTGCTTTGCGTGTTATTATCATAGATTATCTTAATAGCAAATTATAAATGATTATTAGCGTTACAATTATTTTAAATTACTTGCCTTTATTTTAAAATATATACCTTTTAAAAGATGTTGAAAAACGGTAAATGTCTAAAACCAGACCAAATTTTAAAATTTGCCTGTACATAAAAAGCTAAGTTTTATATAGGTACAGATATTATTTATTAAATTATAAAAAATTGGTAAATGCAAAAAAAATGATACCCTAAAAAATATTTTTGTTTGCCCAAAATAGACTGGGCGTGACACCCAGAAATTTAGTTGCCAGCAGCTTTTCCCGTATAAGGGCCCCTACCAGATTTTTTATAAGGGGCCCCCTCGAGGCTAGCTACTCCACTGCCGGCCATTAATCAATAATAATTTCAGTTTCCCTGTGCCATATTCTCATAGAGATAATACTAGAGTAATATTTTCTTATAAAAAAATATTATTATTTCTATGCCTATTCTTGTGTGAGATTGGGATTTCACGCGTCGTGCTTTTAATTATTGTTTTGACAGTTTTGTTAGTTTAGTACCTATCCAAGGGATTGTTGTTTTGTTTGTGATTGTGAGTTAGTTTTGTTGGTTAGACAGATTTTGTAAATAAGTTTACTGCTTTTTATTATGGAGTGTCATTGCGATGACTGTGTAAACTGTTTTAAAAAACTTACATTTACCGAAAAACAAAATGTTTTTCAAGATTGTTAAATTTACCCCGGACATAAAAATCGTGCAGCAACAAAAGAAAACTAACGATATTTTAATAAAAAAATCTATTACAATTATAAATGGCTCTGCGGGTGTCATCATAAAATAAAATGTATTGCTGCGTAGCGCCCTGAGTGATTATTTTTTATTTAGCCATATAATTTTGGTTTTTCATATTTTTCAAATAACGTATTTTTGTTATTATAATGTTCTTAATATTAAATAAAATAATCTTTTCCCGAATTAAATCATAAATTATTTAGCTATTAATGTTAAAAAAATTGTTCTCAGTTTCATCACATCGAGAGCCAAAATAATTAAAAACATGCTATTTTGGGGGTCTTCAAGGTAACATAATATACAAAGTTATATATAAATAGGAAGACTGAATTAATGTTTTAATATCAACGGTGAAATTTCGGTTATTTATTGTTGCATTAATTTATTGAGTGTTATACTTCATCCTTTAATAATACAGTAAATTAGCCGAATATGATTTTTATTGACAACACATTTTAGCGTAAAAATGTTGACTTTTTATTTGTTAGATTATAAAAAAGCAGGTGTATCAGTTAGCTATAGCTTCTAACTATTTTAATTTTAACAATGAATTAAAAAAAAATTAAATTTTAAAAATTTTAAGTTTTGTAATTTGTTTTACATTTTTTTATATTTATATTACTATGCAAGGCATATCTTTAAAAATTTAAATCGCTTAATTTAGTTTTTTTCTTCTTGCAGAAACACCTCCACCTCCTTATTCCCGATCGAATTCGGATAGGCTAAAACCTGAAGGTAAGTTTAAGAAATATTTGTTATCCATCGATAAAATTTTCCAAAATTTTACAGATTTTACGTTTTAAAAAAGAATCTTAAAAAGCTCTTATAATCCAATTAAGCCTTTTTTCTAAAATATTTTTCAGTATCAACCCCCCCCCCATATACAATTTACAATTTTAAATTCTACATAAAATTCTGAGTAAAATTACGATACCATGTGAATAGTTTTTTCGTTAAAATTTGACAAATGCGCATTTGTCAAATTTTAACGAAAAAACTATTCAGGTAATTTGTTGAAAAATGTTAAAGAATTTACTTGGAATCTTTTAAACAATGTTTTAAGATTTCAAAAATTCTACCCCCATATCCGCAAACCTAATAACAAAAAAGTTATATATAACTTTTTTAGAGATGTGTTACAGAATTGACATGAAATTTCTACCATCATAATCGCAAATACGCTAAAGAAGTATCGCTAGTAGCGCCACCACTCGGCTGTTATCGTCGTAACAAAAGTATAAATTTTAATAATCTGCTGTCAAACGCTTATGTTACAAACGAGTGTTTTTGAGAATAAAGCCGGAAAATGTTAAAAAATATCGAAAAAAAAACCGTGGTATTTGAGAGGAAATTCTGAGTTGAGTTTTTACCGGTTTTCCAATAAACAGTGTTAAACTGAATAAAGAAATAAATTGCATACAGTCTCTGTAAATATAAATTGTACCTATTAGATACAATAAATACACATTTTAGTAGTGATTAACGTGAAAAGTCTAAACATTTCAATTCAGTAAAAATCGTCAAACAAATAAGTCGTCTAAATTTAAACAGCATTTAGCATTATTAAAAGCGTTGATTAAGAATTCTTTAAAGTCTCCACTCAACGGTAAAATACCATTATATTATGTACGTATTATATATAATATTATGTTGCCATGAATTCGTAGATATATTTTGTTGTTTAAAATGCAGTTGTCGGCGTTTTTTAGAGAACTTAAACATAAAAATGGTTGATTTTAAGGTTATGTTTGTGCAAAAATTATTTTTTACTAATTTCTTAAAAATGTCCAAACTTAAATATAAATTATATTAGGTAAAGTTATCATTAGTTAATTCTGCACCAACAAATGTACTTAGCGAATTGGATCCTTTGGCAAAACATGAAAATGCAACGCTTTAGTTCTTGAATTTTATTTAAAATTAAAAACACAATAATTCACCAAGATCCCTTTGATAAAATACACACACTAACGTAACTATATAAGCATTTAAGCATTGAGTTTCTTAATCAATGATATAAGGAATAATCAATCGAAATCGAGCACTAAAAAAGTTTTTTAATTTTTTCCTTGCAACGTAAAACACATATAACGTGCGCGATTTAACTGTGCAATTGAACAAAATTTGTCGAGTAAGACTTCTTATTGTTGACAAGATCCACCAGATGGCGCGCGCGTTGCGAAAACCCGATACTTCTTTAGCGTATATAATAACGAAGTTATAGGCTATTCTAAAACTATTCACTTTAGCTATAGGACATTTTACTCAGAATTTTATGTAGAATTTAAAAATGTAAAAATATATGGGGTGTTCTATTTAAAATAACTAAGTTGATGTTACTTCCGGTCAAACTGAAAAATATTTTAGAAAAAAGCATTAATAAGCGCTTTAAAAATTTTAAATCGATATCTTCTGCTGTTCCCCTGAAACTTTAAAGTGAAACAGCATGAATATTCACCCCGTTTTATAAGTTTTTCTATATAATCATAAGTATAAACGTAAAAGTAATTAATAAGTAAAAGTATTTAATAAACTGTGGACACCTGCTTGCAACTTGTGGAAAAATGCTCACTAATGGCCGTAATGAATCTTCACAGTTTGCAGTAGGTAAACGTTCAACGTATACGAAGCGTATGTGCCTATTAAAACTGAAAATGGAACATTCAACGATGTTAATGGTTCTGGTCGATTTGGGTGGTAATCTTGTATAATTACTATACTTAAGATTTCTCATTAAATTACTTTTTCGACTCGTGTGTTTTACTGGAGCTCGCTTAATTGAGTTTATATTTGATTTATCATCTTTCCATTATTACAAGGTATTATAGCAATATATGTATAGCAAGATGTAAACTTAGTTTATACACCTGTATCTACAAACTTTACAAAAGTTCAAACATAAGCAGCAGAAAAAGTCCACTTCACTCCAACAATTAAAGCAAAGATAAACATAGCAGAGAAAACAATTGAAAGCTCGCTGCGGCAAAGTTCTTATGTTTTTTTTTGTTGTGCAGAAAGACATGTAAGAGTTCTCGGAAAGCTCAAATGTGGATTCCAACATTCTGAAACACTATCTTTCTCATTATGTACGTTAAAGATATAATTTAAATACTTGTAGGTAAGTGTACTCTAAATATTTAATCATTTATCATCAAAGTGCAGTTTTTTGTGGATGATCTATAAGCAATTCGTCCTTTTTGCATTATTTATAGGCGACGAGTAAACAAGAGAAAAACATAAAGGAAAAACATTGCAAAATGGCGAGGTAAAGAGAGACAGAAAGGGACAGGTAATTTAAGCGACCGTCAAGGACGGTCAGATGCTGTCGCTCATGTTTCAATGGCATAACATGCTGTCGTGTGGACACACATTTCCATTGCGATAGAAATACAGCTCTGTGAAAAAACAAATATTTAAAACTAAAAATAAATATGTCGACTACTGCAAACATGGACTTTTTTACCACATAACATTTTTTAAACTTCTTTAACCTTTATGAATTTGTTTAAAAGACCTTTTTTATGTTCTTTTGATTACTATACGCTAAAGAAGTATCGGATTTTCGCAACGCGCGTGCCATCTGGTGGACTTCGAATGCATTGCGTGAATTTAAGAATTGTCAACAATAAATTTAAAGCACGGATTATACATCATTTTTAAATAAATAGGTAGTTTTTTTTACAAAAGAGAGGAAGGCAGAAGTCTTACTCGACAAATTTTGTTCAATTGCACAGCTAAAGGAAAAAATTAAAAAACATTTTTAGTACTCGATTTGGATTGATTATTCCTTATATCATTGATTAAGAAACTTAACGCTTAAATGCTTGTATAGTTACGTTAGTATGTGTATTTTATCAAAGGGATCATTGTGAATTATTGTGTTTTTAATTGTAAATAAAATTCAAGAACTAAATCGTAGCATTTTCATGTTTTGCCAAATGATCCAATTCGGTAAGTACATTTGTTGGTGCAGAATTAACTAATGATAACTTTACCTAATATAATTTATATTTAAGTTTGGACATTTTTAAGAAATTAGTAAAAAATAATTTTTGCACAAACATAACCTCAAAATCAATCATTTTTATATTTGAGTTCTCTAAAAAACGCCGACAACTGCATTTTAAACAACAAAATATAACTACGAATTCATGGCAACATAATATTATATATACATAATTTAATGGTATTTTACCGTTGAGTAGAGACTTTAAAGAATTCTTTATCAACGCTTTTAATAATGCTAAATGCTATTTAAATTTAGACGACTTATTTCTTTGACGATTTTTACTGAATTGAAATGTATACACTTTCCACGTTAATTACTACTTAAATGTGTATTTATTGTATCTAATTTATATTTACAGAGACTGTATGCAATTTATTTCTTTATTCAGATTAACATTGTTTATTGGAAAAACGGAAAAAACTCAACCCAGGGTTTCCTCTCGAAATACACCCAACAACACAACAAATTGATCCACGGTTTTTTTCGATATTTTTTAACATTTTCCGGCTTTATTTTCAAAAACACTCGTTTGTAACCTAAGCGTTTGACAGCTGAATATTAAAAGTTCTACTTTTGTTACGATGATAACAGCCGAGTGCTACTAGCGTATTAAACCTGAAATTGAATTTAATAAATTGTATCTCAATTTGAGATTCTCAAAAACAATTAATCCTGCATAATATTATAAAACATTTGAAACTCATGTAGGAAATTTGTAAATGATTAATTAAAAATATAAAAATAATGTATTCGAGATTTTTTACGATCAATCGTAAAATAAATTAAAACTCAATTTAAATGCAGACATAAATTTCGAGTACAATTTCGTCTAGTTTATATCTTTTAAATTAATTTAATTAGCGAGATGGTGATACTAAAATTAATTTGTACTAAAAATATCGTCGGAGTTGCCTACAAATGTCAAAACTTATTTATAATTCAGGAATGTTCGGCGTTTCTTAGAATGACAAACAAACTTTGTCTATTGTTTTGTCAGCCTGTGAAATGTGATTAAGCCAACCAATTTCTATTACATAAAACTCCACAAATTTATTGCAAGTCTCCTTTTTTATTTATTATCTTATAACAGGTAACAGGTGTGTTGTAGGTATCTATAGGTGAATATCTGGCGTTGGTGTTAAAAAAGTTAACAACAAATTTAAAACACCAAACCAGTCGTCATTCCTACTTACTTTTCGTTTTTAGAATGCTTTAAACTTGTGAACCAATTCAAACACAACAGCATTTTACGTGCTTTTTCTTGAATTTCCAAATGTCAATTGCGTGTATGTTATGAATGTGTATGTTAATGCAAAGACCTAATAGGTAAGGCACATACCAGGCTGAATTGTCGAATCTCAGACCGCTCCTAGATACTTTTTAAGTACACTTACAATAACGTAGACATGTGGGATGTAATGTTGTTTTATGAACAATGAATTGATTATGGTGTAGATGCTAGACAAATAGAAATTGTTTGTTTAATTTTTGCATTGCATCAATACGATATTGTTTTTTCAATGGCCTTCTAACGCAAATATTTGACAATAATATAGGCGCCAGGAAGTGTTAAGCTCTAAAGGCTACGTACATTTCCCACATCCCAATATAGGTAACCTTCTAGGTTCAATGATTCCACGTCTAATATATATGTACATAAAATAATTAATTGTTTAAACAAATATTCGCAATTAAGTATTATTATTTCCGATAGATACATTTTACG